GAGAAAATAGTAGCCATAAGTGTTGAAATCGAAGTTGGGAAAAGGAAATCCTTTTTCTTCAGCACCCTCCTACCTCTCCTATTCCGCCCTCTCCTCCATTCATTTCAAATAATATTTTTATTTTACGTTAACGTTTCAGTACCGTCAATAAAATTATCATAATTAAATTTCCAGAAAAATAATCAGCGCATAGAGTGGAAGAAGAGGTTAATCTGAAGTTACGTATTACTAGTGAGCAAAAAAGCGATTTTCTAGAAAAATGTCAATATTTTAAATTAAACTATGCGACAAGAAAAAAAGATGAGAAAAACTTTAATGATAACCAATTTAATGTTTGTATGAAACTGGAGAAAGTCTGTATTGCTTCAATTTTCGTAGCAGTCATTAAACAATAATTTTTTCTCGAATTTGATGCGGTCAACCTACTCGATCTCAGTTATACAAAAAGCATTTATATCCATATAACATAGAAATGTTTTCATAACTATAATTAAAAAAAAACGTCTCCAGAAAGTTCCTATAGAAAACGAAAAAAAAAGGGTTATGAACAAGTTTAGTACTGGCTTTCCTCGTGACTTTTACCTTTGTAAAAAAGGGAGAAAAGTTAGGAAATCATTATCACTAATGTGTTGTTGAGTAAATGGCATATTATTAATTCTGGCTAAATAAAGTTAGCAACAGAAAATAAAACTAAATAATAAGTATAATGAAAAAATTGGAAGAACTAAAAAATTTCTTATTTTTCTCTTTTATTCCTTCCTCTTTGTCCTCTACTTATCCTCCATGCTCATTTCAGTAACAGAAAAAACCTACTTGAAATCATCACCAACAAATAATTCTTTTTTTGCACGCAAGATTACCATACGTAAACAGTAGATTTTTTTTTTGTTTTTTCTCTTGAAAAAAGCCAAAGTTGAGTGGGTGACAGATGCAAAAGATAACGAAGAAGTTGCAAGCGATAGTTACACACTTAGGTAAGAATAAGGCGAAAAAAACAAAGCGGTACAGAGGTCTAATGTTTTTAAAAATACTGAACTGTTTCAGCTGAAAATAAACAGCTAGCAAACAGTTAGCACAATTGAGATCACGCATTCTCTTTGTTCTTCTTTTTGTTGCCCCATTCGCTTTAATATTTTCAATAACTTCCCATCCACGGCAAAAAACTCTGCAGTTTTACACTAACAAAAAAAAATTCATTTTTTTTACATGCATAAAACCGATAAAAAGATTATAGTACAAGAAAAAATTACCAAAAAAACCAATCTAAAAAAGCACGGGGAAAGAAGATAAAACTAGGAGAAAACATTCACGACTCAGAGCCACGACAGTTACGGCCGTCATAATCTTTAGAATCAGCTCTGTGATGACATCAACACACCTCTTACAAATAACCATTCCGTTAGTTGTCAAAAACTAAGAAACAGTATTGATATTTACCAAGAAAATATCGTAGCAGCATATTTTATTTGAAAAATTAAAAAAAATATTTCTTTTTTTCACCGTATCAGTCTCGTAAATTGAGGGGTTAATTTTTTTCCTTTTGGTCGTAGGTTCAGTGCACACAAAAAAGAAATCGCCAAAAACAAAATTAATAGCAGGATAAAAAAGAGAAGGTAAGAACGAAATTTTCAAAAACTTTTTGCATATTACAAATTATCAATATTTTTTTGTTAAGTAAATTATTAAATAAAAACTAAAAAGGAAAAATAAAAAGTAGCAGAAGAAAATCAAAATCAAAACAAGATACTTGAGTGTAAAAAATCAAATTGATTTATCTTTTCTTTTTTTTTGAGCATTTTTATCTTTGAAAACATCTACAATCCCTGGTTGTTATAGCAGTTTTTTCGTGACTTTTCACATCATTAACTCCAAAAAGAACAAAGAGAAAAAAATGCGAAAAAAAATGAAATGAAAAAAAATGACTGAAAGAAAAATTGTTAGAAATTTCCAGAACATAGTTTGATAGCACTTTTCTGTTTTGTTTTTCTTTTTATCTATTAATTCTTTTTTTTTTTGTCGAGAAGCTAAAATGAGGACTGTGAAACCAGAAAAATTCTGAGAGTCGCTTTTACGATGTCACTGTTTTGAAATTGCCCTTTGAAAAAAGAAGGAAAAAAAGAAAAAAGAAAGAGAACTGAAAGAAAAACTTTAAACTGTTAGAAAAGTAATTGTATGCCGGCAGAAACCTGTGAAAGATATCTTAAATTTTTCCCAAAAAAAAAAAGGAAAAATCACCTATTTGATTAAGAGTAACACCAATTCAAGCACCGAACTTTCAGAATTAACTATTGTTCCCAGTTTCCGCTTGCCCTTCTCTTTCACCGTCCTTATTGTGCCTCATTTCACAAATCTTCTTTATCCCGCTTCTCCTTTCACTCACCAGCCGCATTCGTGTCCCTTATTCTCATTTCTCCCTCTTCCCTCCCTACTCTTTGTTCTGATTAGAATCCAGGCCCGTTTTCAATTCCTATCAAGGATTCCTTGAGTTTGTGTGTGTTTATGAATCGCCACTGTTCATTGGTCCAAAAATTTAATGAGTGAAGAAGTTTATTGCGCATTACTGCAACGGATTTGAAATTACAAAATGTGTAACGCCAGTTAAACGGAGAAGTGTTGTTACAGTTGGACTAGGTAAAAAAATTTTAGCAGATGGTTTGGACTCATTTCGGCACTATCATTCTTCTTTTGATTGTGGTTGCTGTTGTTAATTATTAGCTACTAGAATTCTCTCATCTACCCCTCCTCCGGAAAAGAGCAACTAAAATCGAAACTGAATTTAAGATAATGGAGAGAAAAATTAACAGTCTAAAGTCATTGTCTATTTGGTCCTATGTTTGTCATAAAGTTTTATTTTATTTTTTCTCTTTTGTTTACAGCAAATTTTATTCAAGTTGCGAAAATTTTTTAGAATAGGCTGCAAAAAAAGAAAATGATAACGAAGAAAATAAGGACAAAAATGAAAAAGATGGAAAAGGAATACTGGACAGTGTAATTCTATGTGCTAAAAAACTAACGAAACGTATGAAGACTGGGAGAGAAAAGATTGAAGAAAAAACATCAGTGCTAAAAAATGAATGGAAAGTTACCTGCGTAAATCACACATTGTTTTTTGTGTTTTTTTTAAACCCAAATAAACGTAAAAAAAAGGGGTGAGGGAAAAAAACTCAGACGACTTGAAAATATTCACTACCAAAATCGTTTTGGATCGGACTTGGAAAATAACAGACTAGAAAGATGTTGGTTCATTAGATAGAAAACAAAGTGGTTTTGTTTTTTATTTTGCTTTTCTTTTTTTTTGCTTTTTTTGAAATTTTTATTTATCTGTACAATTTGTCGTTGATTTTGAACAATTTACTTTTGCAAAAATTCTTTAACAAATTTATAATCGTTTTTAGAAAACTCTGACTTTCCTTTTTTTCCCCTTGGTTTCTTTTTGTTGCTGTAAACACCGATATTTTTTTCCTGCACAAAAAAAGGGAATAAAAGAAAAAACGACGAAAAAAAGCAAAATAAATAATTTTTATAAATACTATCTTTTTTTTCTTTTGATTTAATTGCTTTGTTTACTTGGTCACCTAAGGCTTATAAACTACAGCTAACTGTGACAACAACAATAAAAATAAGCTTAGAAAGGAAAAGACAGTAGAATTTGAAAAAAAATTTCTTTATTTTCTTTTTTTTTCTTTTTTTAAGAGTAACAGCCAAAAATGCAATAAAACATGAACAAAAAAGAAACTTTCCGGTGAACAGCAATGTAGTCAGACGGTCAGGAACAATGGTGCTACTACTATTTTCCGCTACTGCACAAACTCTGCGCCGTTAATTTTATTGTTCAGAAGACAGATACCAGTGATCAGATTTGGTGAATCAAACGTTTTCGGCAGCGGCCAACAGACCAACTTCACTTTTACGGAACTTTTCGCACTGCGGTGCAGTGCGGTGCGATACCGAGTTGAAGACTGCGTTACCGGAAACGTTTAGCCGTAAGTAACAGTTAGGTCATTGTCATTTCTTTTTCCTTGCTTACTAAATTTTTTTCAATTTTTACGCTTCCAAACAAGAATGCATAGAGACGAAATGGATGAAGAAGATAGTGTGAAAAAAAGGAAGAAAAGCAAGAAGAAAAAAGTGTAGAATGAATAAAAAAAAATAAAAGTAGGATATTTACGTATTTCCCTTTTCTTCACAACTGTTCTTTTTTTTTTTCAGCCAGCATCGAACTTTCGACGAGCCTTATCGATGTTAACAATACTCGTCGATTTTTTTTTTCTGCTCCTTTCGCTTAGAGTTTCACTTAAAGAAAGAAAAGAGAGCAAAAAAAAAAAAAAAAAATTTGTAATAATCATTTTTACATGGTTGAAATTTCGAAAGAAAAAAATTGGAAAATATAAGAAAAATGTCATTTTTTTTTACATTTTTCAAGAAAGGAAAAGTTATTTTAAAAAATTCACTGCACTCTGTAACCCCAACATCTACTGAACTTATCGTAAATAAAACTGAAATGCAGAGAAAACCTAAAAATTTTTTATTTCTTATGAACGAAAAAAAGAACGAAAAAAAAACAACTTTTATACCACCTAATCGATTATGTCATCAGCGCAGTGTTTTATTCAACAAAAATAAATCTGTTAATGAAGTAGACTTTTTTGTTGCTCACTTTTTCCTCACACCTTTAATCTGAATCAAAAAAAATATGGGCGAAAAAAAATCTAACCATTTAAACTACCCAATAATAAACGAACATCAGGAACAATAAAATTTCTAATTTTATTGCTAATGCAATCATTTTTCATCCATTTTTTTACGCTAATCAAAGGCAATTAACAGTTATGGCTATGTTGTCAACGATAAGTAATTAATTGCTGTTTCATACGGAAAGAGAAATTACATCATTTTCAACCAAATAAGCCTGATATGAAAAAGCATCGCAGTTGTTGAGGAATATTTAATGCTAAATATTTTTGTTGGTCATATTAAAACTGCTTGGTGGAGGATAGAGTTCAGTTGGCATGAGCAGCAAGAAAAAAATAAATGTTAACCAACTTTGATGGGCCAACAGAAGCCTGAGATCTGGAAGCCTGGTTTAGTGCATGAGCAATCGAAGGCCTCTGAATGGAATAAACATTCCGGGAAAAAGACGATCCTGGTGATACATACAGAGCCAAGCTATCTCGTTTTGAAGATCGACTACGTCCCAGTACCATGGCTCGGCTTGTTTCCATAATGTCTAGGCTTGTTTTGTTGTTGATCACACCAAATTTCGTCCAGTTAAACTTCTACTTTTTTTTATACAGCAACTACACCAGATCAATAATTGGTGATTTTTAGGCAATCACTGCTGTAGAGCAGCTTCTTTTGCCTCTGCTTCATTTAGCAAATATGACGCTCAGAACAGGGCTGAAGATAAAACCAAAAGAAAAAAACTCCAGAAAAAGAAAATGATGGAACCACAAAGCGAATGCAGAAAGTATTAATAGATTTCTTTTTGGAGAAACCAAATGGTGTTGGAATAGGTGAAACCAATGCCAATTTGATGTAACCGTTTCCAGCGATATATCCGAGGAGGAGCAGCAGCGGCAGAACAACAGCAGCAGTAGCAGTAATAGAAATATTAGAATATTCAGCGCGACAACCTTTGTTGGAACTGTTGTTACTTCAGCAGTAAAAATTCAGTCAGCTCAATGGTAGAATCAAAAAGGAAAAAAACAGAAAGAAAGGATTTTTTTCTTATTAATAGCTTCTGTTCCTTTTCTCGATTTTCTATCTTGTTCTTTTTTCTTCTTCTTCTTTTTTTTCGCACCTCGAGTTTTGTCTTTTTGAGAAAACAGTGTAGACCGCAAGATGTCTAATTTGAATGAGTATTTCTCAGGAACAGCAAACGATAGCAATTATATAACAGTAGAAAAAAATAGGAAGAGAAAAGAACAACCAGAAAGAAAAAATTAAAGAAAAGAAAAAGCAAATTCCAATAAAGGCGATGAATAAAATAGCAACAAATCTTTCAGCGACTTCATAGACGGTGTTGTTTTCTTCAATTTAGTGTCGGGCACAAAAATCTGCTACGAATAATTATTGGAAGCAGAAAAAATGTATCCAAATATGTTTTGTTTAATCGAATTAATAACATTTTTACATATCTCTGCAAAACAAAATAAAAAAACCAAGAAATGTAGATCAGTTTTATATAACTTTGAACAACAGACAATCATCATATAATCATTGCTTCTACAATTTTATCAGCACTTTTTTTCCTCTAATGACTTAGTTTTCACATAAAGCGTTGTAATGTCTGTTCAAAGGTA